ATTAAAATAAAATATCAATACAATTTTAAAACATAATTTTCTTCAAATAATAATTATAACAAAATATCATAATTAATAATATTATAAAAATAATAATTTTCATAAATGATTATTATTAAAAACCTTTAAAAATTCAATCAAACCCATTTAATTAATCAAAATAATTATAAGGAAATAATCTTCATAAATACAAAAATAAATAATAATTATTCATAGTATTAGTAGAAAATTCGGGGTGTTACATAAAACAATTTCAAAATGCTTATTTAAATTAATATAATATTTAATTCATATTAATTTCAAGAGTGATGAGAATATTGAATGTGTTTAATGGAATAAAACTCTTGGTGAATCCTAAATTGGATGTCATCAAAGAGTTAAAGTCAATTTTTAAAACATGTTAAAGTGTATCTTCCAAAATCAGTTTTTTCCATGATTAGGAATGAGAATAGGTTTCCTTAAATAAGGGCATGTAGTCTGACATCTTTAAAGTTTGGTCTAGACTATTTAATAAAAATGTCAAGTTTAAATTAAAAAAAAACTTATTTATTTAAAAAGATTAGGTTTAGGCTTATAAAAAAATGTCAGTTAGGTTTAACAGGCTAACCTATTTATCTATATAATATAATAAATAAATAAATTAATATACATATATTATTTAAAAAGATTACCCACTTTCATCATTGTCTATGCGTAAGTGTATGTTAGTGGACATGGATGTACATGACTTATTCCTTTATCAGAAAATAATTTTATCCATTGCATCTTTATAGAATGTACCTAATACTCCTAAGATCACCTTCTCTATAATGAGTACAATTTTAGTTTATAAATTTTTATCATAATTATTTTAATTTGTTAAAATATGAGTCGATTATTTAGAATATACCAAATTAGATATATGAATTATTTAAAATATATTTTTTATATGATTATCATTTTTCATTATAAATTTATAGACTTATGACTTGTATGTAAGTGTATGCCAACATATATTATTATGCATGAATTGTTACTTTAATAGAAAATGATTCATTTTTTCTCCTATTTGTGGTATCGTATATATTTTAAATTTTAAATTTTAATAATATTGAATAAATTATATTTTATCATGAAAATTAAAAAATAAATAACTATTTAAAAATAATTTTTTTGTCTTTTATAAAAATTAAGTTCATTGATCTAATTAACATTATTATTAATAGAAACACAAAAAAAAATTAACATTATTAATATAAAATAGGTTTTTAAATAGTTAATAAGTCGTACCAAACTTTATAAAGGTCAATTTAGACTAATAAAAAAAATTTACTTATATATTCAAAGCCTAATTTATTCTTATCTTTATTCGTAATCGATTACATGCAACAATTTCAAGAGTTATATATCAAAAAATAGGTTTTTTTAGGGAAAGAAATTCAAGACATTTCATTCATAATAGAAGATAATATAGGTGGGAATAAAATCAAAATGATGGGGACTAGCATAAAATATTGATACCCTAGTTAGTGTATGGACAACATGATTTGCTTGTCTCATAACAAACCTAACTTCAAGGTTTTTATGTAAGGCTAAAAGAGAACGTCTTTTATAAATAAGGTGGTAATACTTAGGATAATGGCTTGTGGAATCATACAGATCATCCACAACTTGTTTACAATCAAGTTTAGTTGGAAGTTTCTCATAATGAGAGTTTGCTAACCAAGTGATAGCCTCTAAATAAGTTATGGCCTCAGCTTCATTTGGCGATGGGGAGCCATTATACCAACTAGAAGTGGCATATTTAAATCTTCCTAGATCATCTCGTATACAAAAGACGAAACCACAACAATTTGAGTCATTAAAGATTGTCTTATACACATTGCATTTCATGTATCTTGATGGAGATTTGATCCAATAGATTGGATCATTTCTTGGTGCCTTTGGTATTTGTTGCATTTCATTAGCAGCTATCTACTCTATTATCCGTTGTCGCGCAAGGAAGACAATTATTATTAAATATATATATTTATTATTAGTATTCTAATATTATTGATAATTAATATCAATAATATTATTAATATATTTATTAATAAATTGATAATTTCATAAGTATAAATTAGTTTATATTTTCCATCGGAAATTTTTGACGGAAATATAAATCCGTCTGAAATTTCCAACAGAATATTCCGTCAAAAATTTTCTGTCGGAAATTTCTGACGGATTTATATTTCTGTCGGAAATTTCCAACAAAAAATTTTCGACGAAAAATTTCGTCAAAAATTTTCGACAGAAATATAAATCCGTCAGAAGTTTTCGACAGAAATATCCGTCAAAAAATTCTGTCAGAAATTTCCGACGGATCCATATCCGTCAATAATTTTTTGTCGGAAATTTACATTTTTCTTGTAGTGAACATCATAAATAGATATTTGATAGACAAAATATTAAGTTTAATAAGCAACTATCTTATATAACTTTTACAACGGATACTTGTAGATGTTACAAATAAGTAGACATGTTTTGGAGAATATAAAGGAAAACTAGAAGTAAAATTAATGCTTTCAACCACATATACTCTCACCACAAACATTTTGCAAGGCCATGAAACACAAGCTAGCTTTTACTTATATATGCTCCTAACTTCTTTCTTATATTTTGTTATGTATATGATTTTATAGAGCATATCATGTGAAATTTTACCAAGTCTTCAACATAAGATGCTTCAACATGATCGACTATCACTAAAATAAAGCAGGTGAAATGGGTTTACTGTACAAGTATCAGCTATACAACTATTGTTTGTGGTTCTGTATACAGATCGAGTATATGATCTCCTTCAAGGTGTTTGGTTGGTAAAACCTTCTCATCTAATAAAATATCCCATAAGGTATACTGACCAAAGAGTGAGAGATATAGTAGCAGCTCCATATGTCCACAAGAGAATAACAGAATACTCTTCAGTGCCTACATCAAATAGTTGAGCCATGGTACCTGCATAATGTCATCGAAGTATAATCTTTATAAAATAAGTCAATATTTTTATATAATTTAAAATTAACATCAAATTTTAATAATAATATTTTTACAATTAAGAAGCTCTCACATGTGATAAGCTAATCCAAACTGGACCTATGTCATGGAAAGAGCTTAATAAAAAAGTATATAAAACACTTACTGATATTCATTGCAGGTGGGAGGGCATATTGCATTACCAACACATACTGAAATAGAGGGTCCAATGGAAGGAAACCTAAGTTTGCAGCCGCTTTAACAACACAAAATCCAATAACAGGTAGTAAGAAAAGTCGAGCTATGATGATGCAAATGAGAATCAATGGTTTGATACTTGATGATTTCATGCCTGCAATTTCAAGACATACAAAAATGAAAAACTAATTCTAGTTTACAATTTTTCTAAAAATATATTGAATATTGATGTTATATTTGTGCAAGTTAATTTTCTATACCTTGTGTTAGGTTGCCACCAAGCAAAACAGTGATACAAGGAATTGTACCATCCCTGTAAAGAATAAATTTAGTAACAATAGTTTATGTGATTAGAAAAGAAAGAGAGAAAAACCAAAAAAATAGCATATAAGTGGCGTTGGCTATATGGATATAACATTACACTGTTGAGCTTGTCTAAAGACCAAATTCTAGGAATAAGATCTATTATTCACCATAATGTCCTCTTTAACAATTACCTCTTATGTATTTTAGTCTCCCTCTAACTTATGCAATTTAACATATAAATGGGTGCTTTTAGTGGCATTCTTTGCAAATCTTGAAATCACCTTAAATGATTAGGATGTTTGCATTGCATTTTTAGGACTTATTATATTAAGACATTGTTGCATTATGTGCCTCAATTATGTGAGGTTGTTCTATATTAAATTTTGATTAAATCTTGTAATTGTTTTCAGGGTGGATTTCAATTTCTTTTTATGGTAGTCATAAATTATAGTCGTAATCATTAAGCACAAATTTGTGATTGATTGCTCATTGAGATTCTTACACACTGCACAATTAAGCCTTAACATAACGACATTTGAAAATAATTTATACTACCTAGTAAATATGTTAATTTGTCTCATTACTCCTAAATACAAAAAAAAAAATTGTCTGTTCTTATAATTGCTTCTTAAATGACAATTTTTTTTTTAAAATTTGACAAAAGAAACTTTGAAACATAATTAAGAACTTATTTGAAGTCATAGATTTCTAGAGATTTTTTTTATGATACTTTGAGATTGATTGTCTACTAGAGAAATATTTAATAAGTAGATATTAATATTCTAACTCAAACACTCTTTTGTATCATCTTTTTTCTCGGTTATTACCACACTAATATTTTATTCTATATAATTGTCCTTTATTGTGTGGCAACCATTTTATTATTATCATTTATATTACTCTCACTTTTTTTTCCTCCTTGAACTTTTAAAGCCCAACATTCACATAAAAAACCAAACAACGTAAAATATGGAAGTACTGAGACATTAGTTTTGTGAGTAAAGGCTCTTACCCTAGCATTTGAATGGATTCTTGGATCACTCGTAGTGGAGCATCATGCCCTATTATTAGGTTCCTTAGCCATGCAACTCCACCAAAGAGGAAACCTAAAAACTGATCATGGAAGCATGTAAAATTTCTCAAGATCATTGAACTTATATAGTGAAGAAAATCAAAAACAAAAGTAGAGTGAATTAAAGACTAAGGAGCAAATTTGAAAACAAAAAAATGAAAAAAAGAAACTCACTGTTGCAATTGTTGGGGGTGACATTAGTTCTGCAAGAATCTGACCTATAGTTTCCATCATTCTATGCCATAAATTTTTTTCCGTATTTATTGATACAATGGATGAACATTGGTCTACAATCTGCAAATTCATATTCATTTTGTGATCCAACAAAATGTTGAGCATGTTATATATAAACTATACTAATTCGACTTTGAGATAAATGAGAATGTATAAAATATATATACCAGAGTAAAAGGAAATAAGAGGAAAGAAAAATATTGACGTTCACTCATTGTTCTTTGATAAAAAATATAAAACCACTTCCACTTTCAACATTCTCGCACTTTGTTTTAATACGATGTTTTCATGCCAACATTTTCATTTCTACCCACACAAACATGACAATGATAAACTACTATGTATTGCATGGACTTACAACTTGATTCTCAGTGTCTATGGTGTAACCATCATTTTGCTTGAGAAGGCGAGTTTCTACATTAGCCTCAACCTCTTTGTTGGGAATCTTTAAGATCTCAGCAGCCTCAAATGCCTTGTATCTCATAGATGTGTTTCGCATTAGTTGATAAGTATATGTCCAAATGAAGACACCACCAAGCTACAATTAATAAAAGATGATAATATGAGATAGATGTTGAGATGGTGAAAGCAAAACAAGTGTAAAAATGAATGTATTACCGCCAAAGAGCAAAACGAATATGAGAGAGCCCTGTTGCGACAATCATCAGGTGCACCAAATGGACCTCCTTTCTCATCACAAATAGCAGGGATAATTACAACCGGAAGGTTACCCATGTTTCCTGATCAAAAAGGCATCCTTGAGAAGCTTTTAAATAATGGGTTTGTGAGAAAATTATGTGAGTTTGGTAGGAGTGAAAAATGGAAGGATTGGTGAAAACAGAAATAAAAATTTACAAATGTATTAAAGCATGAATCCAAGTCACAATACATTATAATTTTCACATCTGCCTCTCCATTTCTTCCAAATTTTACTCTTGCCATGTTATAGTACCTGTTGAACATGAAGCAATAATAAGTCCTTCCACTTTCAAGTTTGGTTTTAATAATTTTACAATTATCCATCCGAGAATCGCTCCAATTAAGAAGGTAAATCCAATGTTAACGGGCATAAACCACCTGCATTAATGAGTAAAACATTTAGTATAAACAAATAAAAAGAATCAAATCCCTTCTGTGTCCACAATGAATACCTTTATTACAAGAGATATTACATATAGTGACATACAAAAAATGTCATTATCGATATAATATATGTGATTATAAATCTACTTAATATATAATTACATAAAATCTTAATGTTAATTTTAAATGAAGTTCAACAACATATATTATATATCACTATAACTTATTTATATTTTTTAATAATATAAAAACATATATATATAGTGAAACCAAAAATAATTTTTGATGATAAATATTATGTTATTATAAATTGTGTACCACTGTATGACAATTCTTTTTAGTTCATTTATCTCTTTCTTCTTGTAAATTTCAAAATATGCATAAATTTATATATATATATATATATATATATATATATATATA